AATACTCAAAAAGCAAATAAGATTCCCACACAGTCCAGAGTCCTAATACAAACGCATATGATCCACCTGTCCAGCGAACAAAAAGAGCAACAAAACAGTAGAAAAGGTCAGATTACTGCAAAACAATACTGTACCATTTGTGATGCCACCTGAAGAAAAAAAAAAAGACAATATGGGCCTTGCACATACTCAGACAGTGAAGTTACCACCTAACATAAAACCGATTTGGGCATCTCCTCATGATACAGCACCACAGCCATTAAAGAGAGACACCGAAGCACTGGGTAACTGTGAGAAGTTGCGCACTGCTGTGCATTTTTTTTTTTCTTTTAAACTAATTGCCACCATGAACTTCAGGCGCAAAACAAAATACGGCTCCGAAGACTACCATTACCTGCATCTGCACTTCTAAATATACTGGTCCCACGACTACTTGATAATATCCTATCAATTGGCCACCACCCATGTGTCTATCTTATCTGTCTCTACCATAGAACACCAGAAATAACGAAAGCAAGAGGAGACTTGATTTGGAACTGAATCGCAGCAGGTCAATAAGTAGCACTGCTTTGTCAAGAACTATGAAAATCCACAGGATTTTCCTGTGGATCTGCAAGAAGTCAACTGCACGACAGCAGTTTTTACCCTATGTACAAGAAAAAGGGATCAGCAGCTCCCCTGTCTTTATACTCCTCCATAGAAATTAACCTAATGTGATTGCTAGTGATTGCTACCGAAATACACCTCTAAGAGGAGGAATGCCTCATTCACTCCCATTTACCCATTTTTAAAAATTAATTGCAACAGTGCAAACAACTTTGTATTCACCTTAAGTTTCTGGCAGCCATTTGAGAACACTAGAGATGTAAAGCAGGTAGTTTAATACACACAATACTTCAGCAGGCTTCAGACGGGCTCTAAAGAAAACTTGCAACATAGTCAAGAAAACCCAAAAAACCTAGCTGAGCAAGATGCACACGCTATTACTCTCTTCAGATACTGATATTATTAACACAGCCCGTCTTGAAAGAAGAAACTATCGTACCACTAACACACCTACCTGACACACACTGCTCCCCTCCAAAAACCTCTTCCCTTTATGATCATTATGAAAAGACAACAGTTGCATTCTCCGACCTTCCCAGGCCACACAACATTCATTCCACGCCAGCATTTGGGACAAGAGCTTTAGAAGCAATTAGCCACAGTTACGTATTTGGTAACACACCACAGAAGGCAGCATTAGAGCAGAGCGAACGGCGGCAGCTTCAGCTGGTACTAATTCCAGAACATTGTTTGTCAGATTATCTTAACAGTTTCTCACAAACAAAAAGGTGCCCATAATTATCCAATTACCTGGTTTATGACTACCATACACCATACTTGAAATAATAGATTTCTGTACATAATTGTATAAAGGAGAGAGTTTAGGAAATTTAGATAGTCAACAGTCTGCTGTGGCTGAAGAAACAACAGATATTAAATAGCTCCTGCTATGTGCAAATTATTTTTCAATCCTGGCAATTTCATTTTGATATGAAAACATTTCAGTTTTTTGTCAGTTATTTCAAGACTGCTTAGTAACCTACTAAAAGCTGTGACACGGTAAGAGAAGCTTAGCACAACAATTCAAACAATTTCACTTCATGACGCTCCACCATATCAACAACGAAGATTGCATGACCCGACAGCATCTAAGAAGTTTTGCCCCGCTATCAGCATGACAGAAGTTTGTCCAGAACCCAAGACAATCTACGCCTTTGATGAACACAGGACATAGATTGCTTCCTATGTTTAAAAGTCTCGGGAAACACTGCATTTAAATCTTTAGGTACTGAACTCCAGCTTACAAAGTACATGGTTTTGTACTGTGGCATACTGGAACAAGCGACATCTCTGTTGAGTATTTCTGCAATTCAGTTGACAGAAAAGAGATTAACAAAGTAGTAAATACTGCTAGTACACCAGATTCTCCTTCCTCCTCCAGTGTTTCCTGCTCAGAGTTATTTGCTCGCGACGCAAGACTCAACTTCCAAAGCAAGTTTGGGCAGATCTAACATAGGCAGGGCAGGGCAAGGCAAAACTGAAATCACTCCGTCTTACTGAAAAATAATTCCTAAGCAAGGTTGAATAGCTTCCATGCCAATTCACCCCAGATGAAGTACCTCTTTCTTCATTAATATTTATAGTAATAACTAACAAGCCTTATTTCTTTATATAAGCTAACAGCCTATCTCCCAAAGTTGAGAAAAAAAAAAAAAAAAAAAATCAATTTTTCAGTAGAATAGTTCACCATGACCTAGGAGTTATCTGCTGAACTCTCACATTACAATACCCACCATCTCAAAACATGCATACAACATGCAAAACGCATTTCAACTTGCTACAGTTCAACTACCTAATCAATATTAATAAGAAACTCAAACCTCAAGTTTGTTTCTGCCCAGTGGCTGTTTTGCAGCTAGCATTGAACACGCTGTCTATCCAGTAAGATTTATGTGCAAGGAGCATCTCATTTCTCATGCCCCTTAACAGAACTTACCAGTAATGCATAGGATCAGCTGGCTACTAAATTACCTACTATGGTATTACTGTGTGGCATAAAATCAACAAAAGCCTATAACCATGCTAAAATCTACTCCAGTTGCTTGTGATGCTAGAAAGAGGAGTTCCCCTTACATAAGGCATCATACCAATAAATTTTTAGTCAGAAGAAGCGCAGAACTCAAAGCCGCTCAAACTAACAAAAACAACCTGCTCCCAGCCCCTTCTCTCAAGACTAGCTCCCTTCCTCATCGTGAAACGTCCCATCCGCGGTCCACCATGAAGGGTAACTGCTACTAAGGACAGAGTACATTCTCCAAGACCTGACAAATCTCACACCAAAACCCTCGTGTGGAGTATCTTAAATATTTTTGAACCCTCCACGGCAGCAGCAGTTTAGAAGTCCGTTTCCTAAAACCACCATCCTGCTGCTGTTATAGAAGCGCAGTATTTCAGATTTCATGTACTGCCCGTGCCATTCCCCCCTCCATCAGCTTCAGACTGCACCTTCTACTTGCGAGTCAACTGCATCATTCACAAAAATAGCATTCTACCTATTAGTAAGTGCAGTGTCACACGCTCGGTTTGAGAGCTTAATCGTAACGTCTCTCTCCCTTCAGAGCACAGTATCATGACTTTGCAAGAAAAAAGACAGATACTCGCTTGGTGAAGTTCTTCAGCATTAAGGGTCTATTAGTAACAAAAAAGGGAAGTTACAATACCCGTCAAGTTACAAGTTTTAAACCTGCATAACACGAAAGCCATAAAGGAGAGACGGTAGCGACGTTCACCCCGGGCCGCTTCGATAGCGACTCGTTGCCCAATCCCACAGTGGCCGAGAGCAGAGAGGGCCCCAGCCGCCAAGTGCTTCAATTTTTCAAATACCTCCGCAAACCTCAAGAACTACCGGTTCTCGGACACTAACATGGCAGGTAGGACCGGCTCCGGCCGGAGGCGGCTGACAGAGAAAGGAAGGCACAGATCAACACTCGAGGAAATCTTGCGGCCAACTTCGCTCGGTCCCCCCCGCCGCTCCCAGGGCACCAGCCTTCCCCCCGCAGACCCCGCACCTCTACCCCCGCACGTGGCTCTGGACAAACCTCCCTCCCCGGAGTTAAATATAAATAAATACACCCCACCTGCCCACGG